TGAAGTCTAGGGTCCTGTTCAGTGCTGCTCCCTGTTCCTCCCCAAAGTTGGGGACAAGAACAGAGATCCCCCCTACTTACTGGGAGGTCTCTGAAAGGCACAGGCTGGGGCAAAGGAAAGACAGCTACAACTCCCTGCACACTGCTGGAGCTTGGTGCTGTGGCCACTCCTTGCTTCTCTCCAGTTCTGGGAGGATGAGGATGCCTTCAATTTCAGTTGCTCCATACTCACCTAGTCAGTAAGCCCTCAGTGTGGCCCTCCCCTGGCCTAGGCCTTGGAGTGTACCCTGGGGATGCAGAGATGGGTCAAACACAGCCCTTCCCTCTGAAGCTTTGAGTCAGAGGGTAGGTGCAGTGACAGGGCCAGCAGTTACAAGTACTGTGGCAGAGGACACTCGGCCTCCTGTGGAGGGCATCCTCCACACCTGTAGATGCAGTTGTTTAACAGGGATGGGGAAGAGACAGGGAGCTATAGATGGAGAAGGAAGCCAAGGACAGGGAGAGAGGAGAGAGGGGTAGGCAGGGATTAGAGACAGAGGCACAGAGAGACAGAGCAGGTAAGACTCTAATGTGATTTGGCACATATCATGAGTGTCTGCAGCCGGACAGCAGCCTTCCTGCACTGAGTGCTTTGTAAGAGTCGTACATCAGGTTTTAACTTGACTCACTTTATAAGGTGGGTACTATGTATATCCTTTTTTTTACATACAGGAAAACTGAGGCTGAGGTAGTGAAGAGACCAGGGGGCTGTTCAGCTAGACCTAGGCACTCAAACCTAGCTCTGTGTTTCTAACCATATCTGCCCCTGGCCTTTTTGCCTGCTAAGCTGTCCAGTGAACAAATGAATGGAGGGACAAGGAAGTCAGCTGGAACTGTGGTGAGGCCTAAGTACAGATCAGAGGGGCAGGATGTGCTGGGGAGGATCAACACTGGCCTCATCCAGGGACAAAGAGGAAAATCGTGGCTCACTGTGTTTTTGTGGTGGTACTGGGGTTTTGAACTCACGGTCTTATCCTTACTAGGCAAGTGTTCTACCACTTGAGTCATGACTCCAACCCTTTTAGCTTTAGTTTGTTTTCCACATAGGGTCCCTTACTTTTACCTGAGCCAGCCTTGAACTGTGATACTCCTACCTCTGCCTCCTGAGTAGCTGGGATCACCATTGTGTGCCACCGTGCTTGGCCCTGGCTCCTTGCTGTTCTGCACACATTTCAGGCTCGTCTCAGGAAAGGCCCACTTGACCTTGTCCTCATGGATGTGGAAGGCAGGCACATAGGTCTCTGGCTCACTGAAGATGGAAGAGCAGCCCTCCTTCCTGGCAAAATGCAGACCCAAGGGAGGGGCAGCAAAATGGGCTCTGGGCTCAGCTGCTTCCTGCCTGGGACTTTCTCTGGCCCAGAGATTTATTCTTTCTGGGAAGAAATTTTCATGTCTGGCCCTGGACCACGGATATCCTCCAGGCTACCTTTGCCTGGCACATTCCTTCCCAGAAGACTTTCCCCTGGGCCTGGCCTGCTGCACATTCTTTGTCTCAATAGATGCAGTGTTCCTGTGCACATGGAGTTCAGATTTCTGTAGCCACTACCCTGGCCAGATTTGAAATCTTAGCTGGTAACCTGGCTGTCCAGGAGAAAGGGCTCTGATTTATGGCATTTGCTAATTTCCATGGTGTTAATACTGTATGTCACTGGGATTGATTTCAGGCATCCTGTGATGGCTAACTCATCACAGAATTCTTAAATATTTAACAACAGGCTTGCTACCAAACCAGCAACCTAACACCATAGGCAGAGTCAAGGACCAAGGCTTGGGGTCTCGTGTGGACCACGCTCCCATCCAAATGCAACTGGATGCTTGGGGATGCCTTTTTCCTCTATCCCACCTGGAGCTGGTTCTGCTCAGATCTCACATTGCCTTCCCAACACGCCTCTTGGAGTGAGAAACTAGAGGACTGTGGAGGGCAGGGGAAGGGTCTCTCCAATCTATATGGAGGGCTAAACTTGGCAGAAGCTCTCTCCCTGCTGAGGGGGTTCAGGCCAGGCATGAGCCTGCTATTCTGCAAGGGCTCTGGGTAAGGGTGGGGGAGGGAGCCAGCTTCCCACACCTGCCTGTTAAACACCAGTGCTTGCCACTGTGTGGCAGTTGGCAGAGCAACTACCTCTCCTTGTACTCATCCATTGCCTCATTTAGAAACTGGTGCTCTATTTCCCCCTGTGTTCTTTACCTGTGGCCTAGCTCCCCCTACACTGGAGATACCTCATTGATCCTGGTTAAATTAGTGGATATGCCAATGAGTTCATGTACACAGGCTCTGGGGTGGCCTGGTTTGGCCAGCCCTGCCCCTCAATATCCTTTGGACTCTACAAGTTGCAATCAGGATCTTGTCACCCCCACTAGTCCCCAGCCTGTTCTTCCTCTTCATGCATTCCTTCCTTTAAGGTGGTAATCATCAAGAGTTTATGGCATACACAGAGCTAACTGGCCAGAGGATCTGAGGGAGCCTTCTTGTTTGCTGGGCGTGGCAGGAAGTGGTAGGAAATGCAAGGGAAGGTTCAGGGCTGGGGAGAGCAGCTGAGTTGCACTTGGATATATTCATTTAGGTGCTGATGGAACCTGCAAGAGGCTCTGTCTACAGACAAATGGAGACATGTGGAGCTCATGATAGAGGAGGATGGGGGTAGTGCTTCTTCCATCAAGGTTTTAGCTGGGCACAGATAATCATGCCTGTAATCCTAGCTACTCAGGAGGCAGAGATAAGGAGGATTGTGGTTTGAAGCCAGCCTGGGGAAATAGTTCCATGAGACCCTATCTCGAAAAAGCCCTTCACAAAAAGTGGCTCAAGGTGTAGGACCTGAGTTCAAACCCCAGTACCGAAAAAAAAAAAAAATTTCCAGCCAGAAAGTCCAGAGCAACTTTCTTGTCACTGATGCTCAGGCAATTGTCCACTGAGTTCATGCTCCCAAGTCTTCATGTGGCCATTTCCTGTATCTGGAGTACCTGCCTGTACGAGTCCTACCCTCCCTTCAGGTGCCCAGGCCACGTGCTCTTCCTCAGGCTCTCTGGAGCCCTGGTCATTCTTCCTCTGGGCTCCAACCCTCACTTGGTTTTTGCCACTTGGCTTTTCCCAGGTAGGTTTTTTGATAGAAATACAGCCCCGGGTCTCTCCCCCATTGTGTCGAGCTCCTGAGGACAAGGACACTCCTATCCTGGGCTGGGCCATTCCCTGTGAGCATAGAAGAAAAACAGGCTGCCTTGTGGCCTGGCCAAGTCCTGCTTTGGTGGCACCCCATCAGCTCAGCTGCTTGGCTGTGGTTCAAGTTCTGTGTTCTTGCCAACACTGTGACCTACATAAGAGGGTCTCTGGACCTCTGATCTCCTAACCCATCCTTTTCTAATTTGTGCTCAGGGACAAGGGCTGTGATGTTTCTTAAGTCTTTTCTAATCGTGAAAGGGCAAGGCCCAGTTGCTAATTCAGACATAAAGATGCTTCAACACTCCTGAGAATTAGTCAATTTTCTATTTCTTCACCATTTTTGAAATGGTTTATTGCAATTAGTGATGAAAACAACTTTTAATGTTGCCATATCTTGTTTCCAAACAATGAAAGACTGGATCTGTCACTCCTACCCCCCTCCCCCTGAACAAGCACCAATCCCAGTCCCCATTCTCATGCCTGACAGGGTCCACAGGCAGGGATGAGAGGCCCCACAGCTTCCTCTAGGGTCTCCCACTGGGATTGAGCCTGACCCTGCTGCGCTGCAGGCCTGCCCTGGGATCCCTTGGATGTTGTTGCCTTTCTGCCCCCAGAAAATGCTCTTTACTACCAAGCAGTCTAAGCAAAGAGTCAAGACCAGTCTTTCAGGACAAGCAGAATGCAGTCACATACTGGGACTGAGCTGCTGAGCAGTGCTCCGCTGACCTGTGACTTCCCTCAGGGTTAGAACCTTGTTTCCTCACTTGCTAACTCCTGGGCTAACCATATCTGTGCAGACAGAGTCTCTGTGTTCTTTATGAGGTCCCCAGAATGTCCCACTCACTGCATGCATGGGCACCCCACTGTTAGGCGATTATACCACCCCCTGCCCCCTGCCCCAGAGAGGCAGACTGAGTTGAATTCTAATCAGTTAATGACGGGCAGCAGTGCCTGGAGCCCCGTTTCTAAGTCTCTGTGCACATTGTAAGTGTATTTACAAGATGTGTGTTTAGAAGCAGATTCTAGCTTTTGCATTGAAAAATGCCCCCCGCCCCCACACAGATATGACATTTATGAAAACGAAGTTGGGGTTCCTATTGTCGGCCTCATACCACTATACCAAGAAAAGAAAGGAAGAAAAAGAAAGAGGAAAGAAGGAAGGAAGGAAGGAAGGAAGGAAGGAAGGAAGGAAGGAAGGAAGGAAGGAAGGAAGGAAGGAACCAAGCACAGGGGCCTCTTCTCCTTTATTAGAGGATTGAGACCCTCACCCTGTTTTCTGGGATCTCAGCAGGATTGAGAGGGACCCCAAGGGAATTCTGCATCTCCCTCTGGGTGGTCTCTATTGTCTCTGTCAGCTATCCCCAGGCTGGTGCAGGCAGCTGGGTCCTTTTCAGAAGTCTGGGCTCCCTGCTGAGCCAGGTGGATGTGGATGGGTACACCCACCACCAAGTGGGTCTCAGGCACTCTGGTCACGAAGAGCCAAAAGAAAGACCCCCTGCTCTGTGCCTGGTGTCTAGAAGGCCCTGAGACCAGAGCAGGGACAGACTCAGGGGCTGCTACCCGGTGGGGGATGCCCCCTCCCCACCTGGCAGAAGGGGCTGGGTTTCCTGTGCTGTGCGGAGCCCTCCCCGACCTCAGAGCGCTGGGCTCCAGGAACAAGCAAACCTGGCCGCGGGGCGTGGGGAGGGCACCCAGGCCTATTGGGCAACAGGGCGGGGCCACCCCCTGCACCCCCCCACCGTGAGGTCACTGAGACCGGATAAAGGGGCAGAGGGAAGGTGCAGGAGGCAGCTTTTGTTCCAGGTCTCCCCGGGACATGAGGTTCCTTGTCCCCACCCTGCTGCTCCTCGGGTCCCTTGGTGAGTGCAGGTGCCTGGGAGCCCATGCTGCCCGGACGGTGGGCTTCCCTTGCCTTGGTCCCTGCGCCTGCCAGGTTAGGCAACGGCTGTGGGGACAGTCCCTACTGCCATTGCCTCGGGTGTGTGTATGGGGGGAGTGGCGGGGGGAGGCAGGAACGTGCCCCTTTAAACCGGGTTGGGGTGGGTCTGAGCTGCACAGAGCTTCCCAAAAAGCCGGGGAGGGGAGGGTGCTTTTCTCTGTGTTCTCCCAGGACCTTTAGCACCCATCCTACATGCTTGACATGGAGGAAAGCCAGGCTCAGAGAGGGTGAGGAAGTCGCTCAAGACACACAGGAGACCTGAATTTACATCCCTAGTTCCTACAGGAATTGTGATCCTGGCAAAAAAAAAAAAAAGCTTTCTGAGCCTTAGTTTTTTCACTTAAAAAAAAAAATCTGATCATATTTGCCTGGGGGTGTGGAGGTGGTAGGTACACTTATAACAACACAACCTCCCAGGGCAGAGGGAAAGGGAGGTATAGATTTTGATAGATCGCACTTTTCAGAGGCTATGAGAGGAAAATTACTGGTTTCCAATTTGAAATGTGCCCAGAATAGAAAGACAATGTAGAAGGGACCAATGGGAAGAGTCTAAGCAATTGTTCCATTTGCAGGAATATGGAGTCACTTCTGGGGTGCTCAGGTGGCATTCTGCAGCATCAAACCTTAGTGGGGTAAACTGTGAGCGGAGGGGCTTCTTGCAGAGCCAGAGCAGAGGTCTGAGGCAGCAGTATAAAAGGTCAAGCTGGATATTAGGACCTAAGCAGTAGTTTGGGCTGAGTGAGCCAGGTGCCCTACCTCCTGGGCCCAGTTAAGCTGCCTTCTGTCCTAGGCTTCTACTTAGGGCTGGAAGCTTCTTGGGTGGCAGGAGAGAGGAGGCAGGGATTAGAGAGAAGGTGATTTTACACTCCCCAACTCAGGAGCCTGAGCCCATCCCTGCACCCCTGCCCTTCTGGCCCTTTCTCAAAGGCCTTCCTGTGGACATTGGTCATCTCTCTCTCCTCTAAGGCAGAGTGGGTTTGTCCAGGACCACCCAATTCTCTTCTCAGCATGTTCCCTGTCATAGGACATGCCACACAGTTTCCAGACGCCTGGGAGGGGCTGGGCAGGAAGGAATCCTGCTGTCCTGGAAGTGGTCACTTGGATCTTTGGTTGTCTTAACTCCTACAGAGAGATCTGTAGTCAGTGGGATGGTGGCCTGTGAATCCTTGTCCTACTTGAGCAGGGAGTGACCATTGCTCTCTGGTGTCCTGCTCTGCAACTGTACTGGCAGGGGTGGTGGTGGTGGGGACAGGGGGTGAGGAGGCCCCCATAAGGGTTCTTATCAGGCGGGGCCCTCCCAGGAGTGATGGGTGGGGAGGGTAACTCCTGCCCCAGGCCTGCTGGAAGGCCAGGGCCCTGTCCCTCCCTGCTGGAGGAGGCTCCCACCAGGCTCAGCGTCTGAGTGGCGATGCAGAACTCAGGTGCTAGAGTGGGGTTTGGGAGCACTTGACTGCTGCAGGTCACACAGCTTGAAAGCTGAGTGGCAAGGGCTTAAGAGGCGTGCATTCTGTACTTAGCACTGGGGGCTGGGGGACTGGGGACCCTGGGCAGGCCCTCAGTGGTCCTTTATTAGCCTGTTTAAGCCCCTCCTAGGGGTTCCTGCTGTTGCTCATCCCCACCCCTGGCTTGAGGCATGGTCTGTCACTTTGTTCTCTCCTGTCACCCCTAGGACCCCTCCATTACCAGCTAACTTCTGACACCTACTCCTTTTCCTGCCCTCTCCTCCATGCTGTCCCCTCTCCCCACTCAGACCATCCTCTCTCTTGCCCCTTCTCTGGTTCTTGCCTGGTTTTCACCTTTCAGTCCATTCTGCCCCTTCCCTAGGCAGAATCCCATTTCCACCCTTGCCCACAGCTTTGCTGTCTCCCAGGTAAGACCCCCTTGGACCAGCACTGGATGCTGGCTGTGATCTGATCCCAGACTCCTTGCTAGCCTCCCTCCTCAGTCTAACTGAGTCAATAGGCAGGCCAGCTCAGTGTAAGGGCAGGGGAGCAGTGCATGAGTGCTTGGGGTCACAGCCTAGATGCAACATGTCTTAGCTGTGGGGACTTTGGCAAGACACATAACTATTATAGCCAGTTGCCTGCCTTGGAGAAGAAGGGGTGTTGACCAAAATTACAATAAAGAGGAGCTGGGGGAGATGAATGGGAGGAGGACATGGGATGTGCTGAGCAATGCAACTGCTACAGAACATATTTGGGACATTAGCTGTGCCTGAGCACCCATTGTCCCCAACTTCCTGGAATGCCCTCCACCCTAATTACTAGCTGGGGGCCTGAGGACTTAATTCTTTTTTATTTTCTTTTATTTATATGTGCATACAATGTTTGGGTCATTTCTCTCCCCTTCCCCCCCCCCGCCCCCTCACTTACCTCCCCACCCCGCCCCCTGCCCCCTTGCTGAGGATTTACTTCAGGTTTTGGTATTTGTTCTGGTCTTGAACATTCTCCCCATTTTGGTGTCTTGCCTCTCCAGTGAGAGTGAGATCTGCTTCCTGCTCCTGCAAATATGCCTCCTCTGCTTGGCACACAAGGCTGCATATACAGCAGGCATCCAGTTAATGCTTTTTGGGTCACAATGGCTGAATCTGGATTAATTCTTGCTGCGGGACAGTTCTGTGAAGTTCTGGCCAGGTTGCATTCTCTGGGACTTCCCAGGGACGATGGTGGGTGAAGGAGGAGCAGACATCTAAGTGCCTTGAACTCCAGCTGACTCATCCTGGGAGTCCCAGGTCTCCTGCCCCAGCTCCCAGAGCTCCTCAGGTGCTTTGGGTGGGTCTGGCTGTGAGGGGGTGGCTCAGAGAGGTAGCAGCAGTGGACTGAGTATATGCAATGCGGTAGGGGGTTTGCAATTGTGTGTTTTTTAGGTTTTGTTTTGGTAACAGCTTTACTGAAGTGTGTTTTGTATTCATAGAGTTCACCTATTTTGTGTGCAATTCGATGATGATTAGGGCCTTTTCTGAGTGGTGCAACTATGTTTTGGAACATTGTCATCACCCCAATGAAGATCCTTCATGTCCACCTACACTTAATCCTCGCTCCCCCTCCCTCAGCCTCAGGCAACCACTGATCTACTTTCTGTTCATAAACTTACCTGTTCTGGACATCGCTTACAAGTGGTGTTGTGGCAATATAGTCAGAGGAGAAACCAAGCAACACTCGGAGGAGTGGAGAACTCAGATTTTAATTTTTACGCTAGCGGGCCCAGACGTGTACCAGTGTCTGAGCCCCGAACAAAGGATTCACAGGATATTTAAAAGGCAGTGCAGGTTATGCAGCCATGAAGAAGAACGAAATGTTATCATTCGCTGGTAAATGGATGGAATTGGAGAACATCATTCTGAGTGAGGTTAGCCTGGCTCAAAAGACCAAAAATCGTATGTTCTCCCTCATATGTGGACATTAGATCAAGGGCAAACACAACAAGGGGATTGGACTATGAGCACATGATAAAAGCGAGAGCACACAAGGGAGGGGTGAGGATAGGTAAGACACCTAAAAAACTAGCTAGCATTTGTTGCCCTTAATGCAGAGAAACTAAAGCAGATACCTTAAAGCAACTGAGGCCAATAGGAAAAGGGGACCAGGAACTAGAGAAAAGGTTAGATTAAAAAGAATTAACCTAGAAGGTAACACCCACGCACAGGAAATCAATGTGAGTCAATGCCCTGTATAGCTATCCTTATCTCAACCAGCAAAACCCCTTGTTCCTTCCTATTATTGCTTATACTCTCTCTACAACAAAATTAGAGATAAGGGCAAAATAGTTTCTGCTGGGTATTGAGGGGGGGGAGCGGGAGGGGGTGGAGTGGGTGGTAAGGGAGGGGGTGGGGGCAGGGGGGAGAAATGAACCAAGCCTTGTATGCACATATGAATAATAAAAGAAAAATGAAAAAAAAAAAAATAAAAGGCAGTGCAGGGTATCAGGTTACAAGGAATGTGCTCTCCCATAAAGTAGGGCTAGTAGTGGATTAGAGACCTAAGGTTTAGATAAGAGCAGGGGGGGTGGGGGGAGGCCTGCTTTGGAAAGTTTATTTACAAGTGGAGACAAAGGAAGGCAGGAATGGGTGCTTATCTCTGCATGGTGCCTTTCATCTTGGTCCCAAACTTTTGCATGGCTCTAATGGGCAATTCCTCACAGCTCTGTCTGAGGTTACAGCTTTTAATTGACAGTTTACCCTGTTTTACAACCCTGTTTCAAGGCTATCTTCCTCTTCAGTGGAATCAGATTCCAGAAAGTCTGCAGTGCTGGTCCAAGGAGGTCTTATGCCTGGCTTCTTTCACTAACCACAGTGAGACTCATTCATATCGTAGAACTTATCAGTGTTAGTTTCCTTTTCATTGTTGAATAATAATCCATTGGATGGATGCAACACATTTTGTCTAGCTATTCACCAGTTGTTGGGCATTTATGTTGTTTCCAGCTTTTTTTGCTATTTGAATGCTACTATGAACATTCATTCATGAGTCTTTACCTAGGCATGTATATTTTTTGGTACTTCTGGGGATGGAGCACAGGGCTAAGCAAACACTAAACCATGGAGCTGCATCACCAGCTCTAGGCGTATAGTTTAAATTTTCTTTTGGGTATATGATTAGAAGTGCACTGTCAACCCATCTTCTGAAGTGGCTGCACCATTTTACATTCTCAGCAATGTGCAGGGCTCCATTTCTGCGCCAGCACGTTATAGTCTATGTTTAGCTAATATAACCATTGCGCTAAATGTGAAATATTTTGCTACGCTTTGAATTTGCATTTTCTTTTTTTTTTGTGGTACTGGGGTTTGAACTCAGGGCTTCACGCTTGCTAGGTAGGTGCTCTTACCGCTTGAGCCACTCTGCCAGCCCTGAATTTGCATTTTCTTAATGACTAATGATGGTGAGCATCTTGCCATCCACTTACTAGACATTCATATATCTTCTTTGGTGAAAGGTCTGTTCATATCTTTTATCCATTAAATATGTAATGCTTTTTGATGTTATTATGAATGGAATTACATTCTTAATTTCATCTTTAGACTTTTTTTAATGCTTAGAGGCAAAAATGTGATTGATCTTTGCATACTGCCCTGCTATCCCCTGACCTCGTTGTACTTGTTTATCAGTTCTAATAGCACTTTGTAGGTTCTTTAGGGTTTTTGACATCAAGGATCATGTCTTGCAAATCAAAAGTTTTACTTCTACCTTTCCAGTCTTATGACCATTTCTTTCTTTTTCTTGCCTCAGTGCTGTGACTAGAACTTCTAGCACTGTGTAGAAGAGGTGGGAGTGAACATTCATGCATTTTACTGATCTTGGGTAAAAAGCATTTGGTCCAGGCTGGAGGTGTGGCTCAAGCAGTAGAGCACCTGCTTTGCAAGCACAAAACCCTGAGTTCAAGCCCCAGACCCACCAACCAACAAACAAATAAAAAGTATTTGGCTGCTCACCATTTTAATAGGATGTTCACTGTAGGCTATTTTTTATTAAGTGGTACTGGGCTTTGAACTCAGGGCCTCACGCTTGCCACTTGAACCACACCCCCAACCCTTTTTGCTTTAGTTTATTTTCAGATAGGATCTCATGGTTTTGCCTAGGTCTGGCCCCAGACTGTGATTCTCTTACCTTGACCTCCCAAATAGCTGGAATTACAGGCATGTACCTCTATGCGCAGCCTTATCGTATGGTTTTCATAGATGCCTTTTATCAGGCAGTGAGTTGAGCAAACCTAATCTAGACCCCTTCCCAATTACAGATCCTAGTACTAAAAGCGGTCCCAACAGGAGCGCCAGTCTTTTTGCATAGAGGTGAATGTCAATAACTCAGGCATAGCAACCCCCCCCATTCCATTGAGCCATCATTTCATGACTACTGACGGAGTCAGGTATATTTCCCTTTGTGTAATAATCTAGAGAGATATTGTGTCTGACTTTGCACTGCTTAGCCTCCTTAAGAGGCTGTTTCTATACCACTGCCTCTATCTCCAAGGTTCAAGTGGGACAAAGAAGGTAGACTGATTTGAGGAATGTATCATTTTTTATTTTTTTACGGTAGAAGACACGTTAGTTATAGGACGGAAAAGAATCCATAGGCTATATTACCTCTAATTTATTAAGAGTCATAGACCTCTGGCTGGCCAGGGTTCCTGTTAGTCCAGCAAAGCAACTCCACTTCAGAAGTCAGCTGGACCTCACCATGGAAATCAGAAGGAAGGAGGGCAGCTAAGTATGCAGAGTCTAGAAAATGCCATCAGAGGGTGTGGCGGTCGCCTGCACAACCAATGGCAGAGCCCTAACTGTTTGGCCTTTTTTTCTCAGGACTGTGTCCAGCTGTCCCTAAGAAAAACATTCGGTGGTGTGCCATATCACAACCTGAGGCATCAAAATGCTTCAAGCTGCAGAAGAACATGAGCAAAATAGGTGGCCTCCCTCTCTCCTGTATCAAGAGAAAGTCCTTCCGTCAATGTATGCAGGCCATTGCGGTGAGCCAATGCCACAGGCTGGATGGGGCCAAACTGGATGGAGGTGGGACAAGCAAGGGAAAGGGTAGAACAATAGAAAAGGTGCTCACCCTTGCTCCCTCTGCTTTACTTCCTGGACACCTTAAGTTGGGAGCAGTTAGTCCTCTCTCAGAAACAGAGCTCTTTAAAAAGAAAGAAAGAAATTAACACTGAGAGGCCCTTTGTGGGGAAACAGGGGTCTCAACATATGTTAACAACTGCCAAAAATGAAGTGTAAGCAGTCATGTTTGATGAATATGTAACATCAGCCAAAGTTAAGTTTACTCCGAAGGGCAAAACTTCCCGAAGAATCACTGCCTTTAAACCCTTCAGTGAGGTCACAGGTGCCATGGCTGCTGTGCCAGGACCTGTCAGGGTCCAAGACTTTCTCAGAGAGAGACAAAAGGGTTTCACAACTTGTACATGATTTCTGATTCTTTTTTCTTTTTGAGATGTAATAATTTTTATGCTGAAATCATTTCAACTCATTCACCTAACAATTATGTTCTGTGTGTTTGCCACGTGCGAGAGCAACGTGACACTTGACTCCAGCTCAGGGTGGGTAATTTGTATAAGTGGGTTTTTTTGGAGGGTACTGGGGTTTGAACTCAGATGCTCACACTTACTAGGCAGGCGCTCCACCACTTGGGCCACAGTGCCAGCCCATTTTGCTTCTGTTATTGTTGAGTTAGGGGCTCACGTTTATGCCTGGGTGGGCCTAGACCTAGATCCTCTTATTTATGCTTTCTGTGCAGCTGAGATGACAGGCACACACCACCACATCCAGCTGTCACCCATTGAGATGGGGTCTTTCTAACTGTTTGCTCCAGCTGGCCTTGAACTGTGATCCTCCCTATCTCCACTTCCTGAGTAGCTAGGATTACAGGTGTGAGCCACCATGCCCATCTTGTGTAAAAGTTTTAACACTATCTTGGGTTGTTTTAAGTTATAATAGAGTTATTAGAATACTGAGGAGAAGCAAATCCCATTTGACTAGTGTTTTAGGGTATTATTTGACATACATGGCCTGTGGACTGATAACACTCACACTTCCTGATTGTTTAAAATTCAGATTTCCAGGCCCTATTGTAACTAACCGATTCAACCTGAATATCTGAGAAGGAGGTCACAAAATCTGTCTTTTAAAATAAGATCCCCATTTGAAATCAGTACTATGTACCATTTATCAAATAAAGTTGAGATAGACTAAATGGTTGGATTAAAACTTGGATTATTAGCTAGGCATCAGTGGCTCATGCCGAGAATCCTAGCTACTTGTGAGCTGAGATTGGGAGGATCATGGTTGGAGGCCAGCCTGGGAAAATAGTTTGCAAGACCCCATCTCCAAAATAATCAGAGCAAAATGGACTAGAGGGATAGAGTGCCTGCTTTGCAAGTTCGAAGCCCTGAGTTCAAACCCAGTCCTACCAAAACAAACAGCAAACCGCCCCCCCCCCAAACTTGGATTATTGAAAACTAGGGGAAAGGTTAACTAGCAGAACTATAGAGGTAATAGAAATTTGTTGGCCTTTAAACAATGGGCTAAATCATGAAACATGTGTCTGACAAATGATTACTGTGTATACTATATGAAGAACCAGTTCAAATTGGTAAGAAACAGAGAATCATATGAGAAAAATGATCTGAACAGAGTATTAGTTACAAAATGTTCCTCCTTAATAATTAGACCTGGGCAGTTTGTTAGCACTGGGATTTTTTATAGTAATGGCAGTCCATAGATGATAGCCTGCCCTACTAGTGCTTCTACAGTGAAATTGGTTCTCTCAGGCATATGGGCATTATAAATCTTCTGGAAGATTCCGGAAAGCAAAAGAGCAGCCATGGCCAGAGACATAAAGAGATGCGTGCTCATTACTGTGATAACTGCCCATCAGGTGCCCATCCCAAAGACGTAGGTCATCAGAGTTAAAAAAAAAAAGCTGAGGGCAAAGGAGAGCCAGGCATGGTGGCTCACACCTATAATCCCAGCAGTTGAGAGGCAGAGGCAGGACAATCATGAGCTCAAGGCCAGCCTGAAACCCTGTCTCAAAAAAAAAAAGAAAAGAAATCTGTTTTCACAGGCAAAAGTTAGACAAAAACCCAAGTACTGAACATTGGGAACTACTTTATAATTTGTGAAAAATCCATATTATGATAAAATACTATACCATTAATAAAATCAATAAAGGCCCTGTGGAAGTAAGAAAATGTATGCGGTTTTTTTAGGTGATCGAAGCAGCTGCAAAATGAAATGTTCTCACCACCACAACGCAAACCTAAGAAATACATAAACACATGAGAAGGAGTACACAAAGGGGAGGAGTACGGCTTATTATCAAAATTTTAAGATATCTTAACAGTTAGAGGTTCTAGTCAATAAAAGAAAATTCTAAAGAAATAAATATGTAGCAAAAATAGGGAGAAAGCAGGAGAAGAAACGAATGACTGCGATGGCGTGTCCTGGGGCGAGAGAGGATACAGGCCAGGCATGTGGAGGACAGGGCAGGAGTCAACCTCAGCTGTGAAAGCTCACTGCCCACAGAGAGGACCCTTGACTTGTGCCACCTCCCTAGGACTTGTGGACATGAGCGAAAGCTCACCCCTTGGAGCCCCCCTACAGTCATGGAATCTTTCTGAAGTCCTGAAAGTCCACTTTGCCTGGGCTTGGGGTTTGTTGTGCTGAAGCAGGCCTGGCCCCTTCTCTTTCAGACAAACAAGGCGGATGCTATGACCCTGGGTGTCGATTTGCTGCTTGAGGCAGGGCAGCTCCCCTACAGACTGCGACCTATAGCAGCGGAAGTCTATGGGACAAAAGCACGTGAGTCTTCCCTGGGGATCTGAAGTCCAGTGGCCAGGGCGTTGGCCTGGGCCCTGTGGACTCAGAGTAGATGAGCATGCAAAGTGGGGACTTGGTTAGCACCACTCTTCAGGGAACAGAGTCACTGGGCTCTCTGGGTCAGATGAAGACCCATCTGTCACATGCTGATCTCAGAGGGAAGAACCCCTGTCCCCTTCCTACAGGAGCTTGGTCAGGTGGGCTGTTTTTCTCCCTCAGGTCCAGCTAAGACTTTTCTACTCTCTCTGTCCCTTTGCAGAGCCACAAACCCAATTTTATGCTGTGGTGGTGGCAAAGAACAGCAGCCGCTTTCGGCTGAACCAGTTAGAAGGCCTGAGGTCCTGCCACACGGGCCTTGGCCGGACTGCTGGATGGAACATCCCTATGGGGACACTTCGTCTATTCCTGGACTGGAAAGGCCCATCTGAGCCCCTTGAGGCAGGTGAGATGACTAGGGGGTCATGGGTGATCTCAGGCCAAGGCTCTACTGCAACTGCATGCATAGACCATTTTGGGATCACACAGGTGATCGTGTGGGACAAGTTCAAGGTTGAGGCTAACCCTCTGGAGCATACACTGCCCATCAGTCCAGAGCGGGTATGCGCTCAGCAAGGTGCATGTCCCTCAGCTCCCCACACCACACTGAGGCTGCTCTGTCCTGCAGGGTAGAGGAAGGGCTGGGCGGCCTGTGGGACACTGCTGGGAGGTGTGTCTGTCTACTGTGGCCAGGGTTGGCTCACACCCTGTGGGTCACTTCTCTGTATTCAACAGCTGTGGCCAGGTTCTTCTCAAGCAGCTGTGTTCCTGGTGCTGATGGAAGCCGCTTTCCCAACCTGTGTCGCCTGTGTGTGGGGACAGGGGCCAATAAATGTGCCTTCTCCTCCCGAGAACCATACTTTGGCAACGCTGGTGCCTTCAAGTGAGTGACACTGACCTCTTCTCCCCAGTGACTCATGGCCTCCCTGCCTTCCCTCTGGCCCCAGCAGTGCTCCGTCTGCTGAAGGGACGGTGGAAGGGGTGTGGTTCTCATATAGTTCGGACTGTGTAATTCTAGAACCTGAGTCCAAAGAGGGCACTGGCCCTGTCCACTTTATGTTCTTCTCCAGCCTCTGAGTCCCACCTAGGACCTCAATATCAATGCCAGCATGAAGGGTACTGGATGGGATCCTTTCTCTCTCCCCTTGAACTCCCCAAATCTGACTTTGCTTTTAGATTCTCCTGCTAACTTAGGCCCTCCGTCCTATCCACCATGGACTGATGGAGTCTTGTCAGTTGGCATCCAGTCCTATGTTCCCAGCTGGGCAGGACAGCCACTGTGTCCAGGCTGATGTCATTCTGAGTCCCCTGAGACCCCCCAGGGTGAAGGGGTGTAAGGCCTGCCTGATTCTCCACTCCACCCTCTGCCCTTCCCAGTTCCCTCAGAGACTTATGCAGAGAGAGGCTTCCACCTCCTCACTGGCCGGGTACATGTGCACACTCAGTCCTGAGGGAAGAATCCAGGGATATAGAGGTGCCAAGCCTTTACCCTCTGGAGGAGAGGCTTCAAAATGCTCTTCTATGTAGAAAAAAAAGTTATGTCCTCCCAGCCCTCAAAGCAGAAGGTGGTAGCACCTGAGCTTTTCTTCGGAATCTACCCGGAGAGGGCCCAGAACTCTGTCCAGCGGGGAACACACCCACAGAAGCCAAGGCCAGGGTTGCAATCCACAGGGATGAACTCACCCTTGCGTGCTTGCTTATTCACAGGTGTCTGAGGGATGGCGCTGGAGATGTGGCTTTTATCACAGAGAATACATTGTTTGGTAAGAGCAACCTGCATCTTTATGCGATTTTTGTCATACTTTTGACTGTTTGAGCTAACTAGATTCTTCAGTTTTTTGCATGGCTCTTATTTCATGTTCTTGCAAATTTTAAACAATCAGCATTCCTTGAATCCCTCATGCTGACCTCCATTTTCTTTCTGCTCACAGACAACCACGATGGTGGGTACTTGTTTTTGATGTCATGTGTTTTGTTTCCTGGTAACTAATTTTATGTTATTTCCTGTTTGGTTATTACTTGTAATACTTGATTATTGTAACTTGTTATCTTTCTGGACTCTCTTAGTGTTCTGATGGATTTATAGGCTTTTCTAGAGAGAGTATTATTATCACCTTTAAATAACACAAACCTGTCTTTTTCCTTCCAGGGTTTATATCTCTTCTTCTTTTTTTAAATTATATAATCCAGCTAGTTCTTATTATATTGGAAATATGAAGGGAACATTCTCGCCTTGTTTCAGTTTTCCCCTTTTCATATGATTTTGCTGCAGATAATTTTGATAAATGACATTTATTAAGTTCAAAAACTTTACTAAATTTTCTACATTATTAGATTTCTGCAGCTAAAGCAAATCTCCAACAGGTGGTGGGCACATGGATGCTTTTTTGAACTTATTAAGTGTAGGGTGACCTCATGGTTTTCTTGCTTTAATCTGTTAATGTGATGAATCACCTTGGGTTTTTGATGCCCAGCCATTTTTTGGCTCACAGAATGAATACATGAACTTTAATCCTGATCTATTATTGTTTTAAAAGACTGCTGGGTCGAGTTAGTGTGTCGTTTGGAATTTTTGCATTTATGTTCATAAATAAAACATGCCTGGAATTCTTCTCGCCTGTACTTCCTTCTCTGATTTTAACACCAAAGTGGCACTAATCTCATAAAACGACTTGGGCAGGCTCCTGTCACTTTACATATTCTGAAACGATTTACTTATTTTTAAATTTTTATTGGTGGTACACACTTGCTAGGCAAGAGCTCTGCCACTTGAGCCATGCCCTCAGTCCTTTTTGCTTTAGTTATTTTGGGAATAGGGTCTTGTGTTTTCTTTTGGGCTGGACTGGGTGGTGGTTCTCCTATTTATGCCTCCCATATAACTGGGATGACAGTTTAATTGGTTGAGATGGGGTCTTGCTAACTTTTTTCCTGGGCTGACCTTGAACTGAAATTCTACTTATCTCTACCTTCTGAGCAGCTGGGATTACAGATGTGAGCCACCTGCCTGGCATATTCTGAAACAATTTATATATTAGATAAATGAAAAATTCCAAAGTCTGTCTGAGCTCATAAGACATCCTTTTTTCCTTATGTTCATATGCCCAGTATGGAAAGTGACCCCACTGTCTTTTCGAACTTAAAATGTTTTTGTTCTAGAGATGTGGGTGAGGTACTCCCTCCCTCCCCTGGGTTTGTTCCTATGAGGTAACCCTTTCCAAGTAGAGTTGCAGGGATCTAGATAGCATCTGTCCCACCTCTGTGGCCTGCCAGTGTGACCCAGTTGGAGGCTCAGACCTGGGAAGGTCTCAGGCCTTCTGGGGACAGCCTTTGCCTTCCTCACTTGATCCCGTCAGCTTTGCAGATGTCTCCTCCAGCTCAGAGTCCTAGGGTGAGTAGGGAAGCCACAGATCATGGTTACTGCCAGGACTTGACTTACCTGGACCCCTTTCCTGCTCTCCCTTCCTCAGAGGTCCTGCCAGACAAGACCGAAAGGGACCAGTACAAGCTTCTCTGCCCAGACAACACCTGGAAGCCAGTGGACCAGTACAAGGAGTGCCACCTGGCCCGAATCCCTTCTCGAGCGGTTGTGGCCCGAAGTGAGGACAGCAAAGAAGATTTCATCTGGGCGTTTCTCCAACAGGCACAGGTAGTCCCAACCACGGTGCTCCCCTCTCTCTTGGGCTTGGGGTGGGGAGAAGTGTCCTTCCTAATTTTGGTAGTTGGAAGCAGAGGGGTTCACAAACTTGGGGGCTGCTTCCTTGGTCTCTGCCTTGGATCTCAGAAACAAGGAAACCTCCCTCAGCATTACACCTGACAGGCTCACGGACTGTAGCAGAGTCAGTGCAAGAGAACAATACAGAGTTCTTAGAGCCGTGAGAAGCTGGGACCCCAGCAACTTTCTAGAGGGTTGTTCGAGCTGAGCTTCTTCCTCTGGGATGGTGAGCATCCCACAGTGGCAGGGTGTCAACTGAGGTTCCTGTTCTCAAAATTATCCCCAAGTTCTGGGTAACTTTTTTTTTTTTTTCTTTCTGCCCCCCCCCCCCCACCGCAGTACTGGAGTTTGAATTCAGGGCCCTGTGCTTGCTAGGCAGGCACTGTACCACTTAAGCCACTCCCCCAGCCCTTTTAGCTTTAGTTATTTTTTAGATAGAGTCTCATATTTTTGCCCAGGGCTGGCCTTGAACTGAGATTCTCTTACCTATACCTCCTTGGAGGCTGGGATTACAAATGTGCACCACCACACCTGTCTTATTGACTGAGATAGGTTCTTGCTACCTTTATTGCTGAGCTTGAACTGCAGTATTCTCCTGAGTAGCTGGGATTACAGGTATGTACCACCATGCCCAGCTCTAGGTACTTGTTTTTGATGTCATTTTTTTTGTTTCCTCCCTATTTCCTGCTGACACCATAATTTTGTTTTTAATTCATTAGGAAAAGTTTGGAAAAAACAAGTCATCGTCATTCCAGCTCTTCGGCTCCCCTGTAGGGAAGAAGGATCTCCTGTTCAAAGACTCTGCTATTGGGTTTTTGAGGGTCCCCAAAAAGATAGACTCTGAGCTGTATCTGGGATCTGGATACCTCACTTCCATACAAAACCTGCAGAAAAGTGAGTGAGCCCAGGCAGGGCCCCAGGGGTGCGGGGGTAGGCAGTGAGCTGTGGGTGACCCCTAGGGAGTGTGGTCCAACTCTACAGTGCTCACTCCTCTGTCTGCTGGCCGCTGGCATATCTTCTGTCAATCAAATCGGGGTTCCAAAAGAGTGTCCGGGCCACTGGATTAACGATTCCTTGTGCCCCCGTGTGCATTTTTCCTGGCAGGAAAATCAACTCGCCTCTCATTAGTGAGATATAGGAACGTGAGCCAGAGAACCACAACCCCAGGGGGTGACATCAGAGGCCGAGTGGAAGTGGGTCCTGAACCAGGCTGGGGAGACCATGCAAAGTGAACTCAACCATGACTTCCTGTACTAGGAGTGGGGTGGGAGGCTGGGAGACCAGGAGGCTACACTGGATGCAGTGCACGGTTGCCATTGCAGGCCTCTTGGGAGGTCAGGGCTGGGCTCGAGGCCCCCAGTCCATGTCCTGGGGTGGACACTGGTCTCTGTGTCACAGAGCTTTTTTCCTGAGAGACAGGAGTAATCAGGCACGTGGCTAAGATTGATGGATGGATTAGAACCCTGGGAAGCCTCCAAGGGAATAGAAGTGAGAAACAGGGAGCTCACGGGAGCTGAGGCAGGCCGGGGAGCTGACATGTGGAGGAAGGATTGCAGCACGGGTCTCGTGCCATGGGAGGAAGAGGTTCCTGTCCCAGCGAGGATCTAATTAGGAACCAGAACCTTGGAGGGCAGAGGTGGAACAAGGCCGTGCCTGGGTGTCCCTGACGAGGCTCACGGCCCCTGCCTATCCTTTGTGCCTCTCCCCAGGTAAGGAGGATGTGGCAGCCAGGCAATCGCAGGTCGTATGGTGCCCGGTGGGCAGCGAGGAGCTGAGCAAGTGTGACCAGTGGAGCACTGTGAGCAACGGCTTGGTGACCTGTGCCTCAGCCCCCACCACGGAAGACTGCATCAGCCAGATTCTGGTGCGTGGCCCGAGTCACATGGGCGGGCGGGGATCCACACAATGGGTGTCTGCCTGCTGTGAAGTTGGATGCCCCAGAGGCTACTGCAGGATGCGATGAGGCAGGAAAGACCAGAGAAGGTGCACTTGGGGCTGCCACATTGGGCTAAGGAAGGGGTACAGTTTTAGGTTTAAAAAGTGGCTTATTACAAGGACAACTCAGGATTATTGTAGGTAACTTGGAAAATAGGAAAGGTTTGTGAGGTTCACACACACACAATAACTAATTGTGGTCTCACACAGAGATAGCTATGATGAAAAAAACATTTTTTTTTTGCAGTATGAAGTTAGAACTCAGGGCCTTTTACTTGCTAGGCAGATGCTCTGCCACCTGAGCCACGCTGCTAGCCCTTTTCCTGTTGGTTATTTTTGAGATAGAGCCTCACTTTGTGCCCTGGCTGGCCTGGACTATTTGTGCTTCCTTGAGTGGCTGGAATGACAGGCATGTACCACCATGCCCAGCCATTGGTTGAGATGGGGTCTCCAGTTACTTCTAATATCAGCATAAATAGTTATTACCAGGCTAAGGACACAGGTATTTTTTTTCTTCCAGTACTGGAATTTGAACTCAGGGCCTACACCTTGAGCCACTCCACCAACCCTTTTTTTTGTGATGGGTTTTTTCAAGATGGGATCTTGTGAACTATTTGCCTGGTCTGACTTCAAACCATGATCTCTGCCTCCTGAGTAGCTAGGATTACAGGTGTGACCCCTGACGCCCAGCCAAGTTATCTTGATGAATCCACACAGGTGCATGCCTGTAATCCTAGCTAGGCAGGATGCATTGGTAAGAGGATCATGGTTCAGTCTGGCCCAAGCGAAAACATGAGATCCTATGAGAAAAATAACTAAGCAAAAAAAGGGGGTGGGGGAGCTGGAGGCACAGCTTAAGAGAGAAAGAGAGCCTGCCTAGCAAGCGGAGGCCCCAGTACCACCCCCCAAAGAAAGATAGGCAGGAGGATCTGCTTTGTCTCTGCAGAAAGGAAAGGCTGATGGCATGAGTTTGGATGGAGGATTTATCTACGTTGCGGGCAAGTGTGGTCTGGTGCCTGTCCTGGCGGAGAACCAGCGTAAGTGGAGTTAGCATGGCTACTGGTACATCTGTTTGGGCAGTTGGGTGGGGGTGGGGAGGAACCACTCCACTCACTAGAAGCAGGAGGAGGCGTTAAGATGGATGGATACATTCAAGCTGGAGAAAATCGGGAAAGAATAAACTGGGACCATGCTTCCCAAAAACTGTGTTGAGAGTTGATAAGGCACAGGTTGTTTTCATCTTCTTGAATAAAAAACAGATTGGTAAAGTATAACACAATATTTAGTAAAGTATGCACAGAAAAGTGCACATAGTGTACAACTAACTCAGTGACATTTTACAAAGGGTGCCTAGATGAAGACACAGACTGTCTCAAAAGCCACCAGCCCCTTACTTCCAAAGGGTAGTGACTCCTGACTCCCAACAAGAGATCAGATGCCTAATCTTGACCTTTATGTAAAAAGAGTTACATTCTTAATGTCTGGTTTCTCTTGCACTGTGAAGCTTTAACACTTTGTGACTTCTCAGTAAATCTGAGTGTTTAAAGACATTTTGCTTGTCTTTGTTCTTTCAGAATCCCAGAAAAGCAGCGGCTCTGATTGTGTGAATAGACCAGTGGAAGGTGAGTTGGAATCAGTCAGTTTCAAGGTCAAGAATAAGTGCTTGTTGCTAGATGGATGAGGTGGTGGAAACTTAAAAAAATTTACAGAAAGAGGCTGGACTCAGTGGCTCACATCTGTAATCTCAGTACTTGGGAGGTAGAGTTTGGGAGAATTGAGATTTGAGGCTAGTCTGGGCAAAAAGTTAGCAAGATCCCATCTCAACCAATAAGCTGGGTGTGGTTGCATATACCTGTGATTCCAGCTACACAGGAGGTAGGTAGGAGGATGCAGGTCTGAGGCTGGCCCTGGGCAAAAACGTGAGACCATACCTAAAAATTAAAGCAAAAAAAAAGAGCCTTGAGGGTGTGGTAGAGAGCCTGCCTAGCAAGCACCAGGCCCCAAGAACACCATGTACTACCCCCCACAAAAAGATTCACAGAAAGAGATGTGTCCATAGAAACCATTATTTAGAGATAAAGATAATTCATAGATGAGTAATTATAATAATTAATGTTTCTATCAACCGTTGTACTTGCCAGAGAACTTTCCTATAGTTCCTCGTGGTACCTGACCATGAGGAAAGAGGAGTGTTACTTCCCCATCTTATATGGATGGGGAAACTGTGGCAGCGAGCCGTCCCCACCCTGCCCCCAGGACCCAGAATCCGAGGCACTGTTGCAGATAATTCTTCCGCAAGTCCCGACTTTGACTCAGGGCCAAACCCAGCACTCTCCGCCCCAGCCCTACCTTCCCACCATGGCTGGTGCTTGCTCAGTTCTGGAACCCTTGACACTTGCCCACAGTGGGCTCCTGTTGGTCTGGTGCCCTCTACAGGGAAGAGGATGGCAGCCATGTTAACCCCCTCACGGTGCAGGACTGGCAGGACCCAGCACAGGGTGGTCCTTGGACACCTCCCCTGCATCAGTGTGGTGGCCATCTTGCTTGCACACTGTAGGTGGTGATTTGTGCACCGTTGGGACCGTTCTTGTTCAACATTTGTTATTTTAGTAGCCAGTGTGTTAAAATCTGTAACTCAGGGATATTGTGTAGCTGGATGAGGGCATCCCCTACAAACACTTCAAGGGTCATCTCTTCTTACTATTTTATTTCATAGCCCAGATCAATTTTCCTTTGATATAGGGCAGCTTTGGTCTACCAAATAATGGCCAATTATTTGGGGGATATTGTTACCTGGAGATGCTTCTCGACCTATGTTGGCCTGGGTTGGGTTCATGGGCCAGGCCTCCTGGAGGTTAAGACCTGCTCTTCTGTCATCTGCTTTGCAAGGGTACCTTGCTGTAGCGGTGACGAGGAGATCAAATGCTGCTATTACCTGGAACTCTCTGAAAGGAAAGAAGTCTTGCCACACTGCCGTGGGCAGGACCGCAGGCTGGAACATCCCCATAGGCCTGCTCTTCAACCAGACAGGCTCCTGCAAGTTTGGTAAGCAGGCCTGAGGGTGGCATGGGAGGGCCACTATCCTGGGGGGTAGGGGAGGTGCTTTGTGCTGTGGAACCGCAGAGAAAGGAGGGCGGAGGGATTTGTCCCGGTAGCCGCCTCCTGGAGTCATGGGTGCATGGGGAGGGACTCATGCATCCTGTTGAGACACAGATTAGAATATCAACTTGCTCTTCTACACCTGAAGAATGGATATGGGTTCTTTTTGTTTGTTTGTTTTAAACCACTTGAAGCCCATATCTAAATTCCTCATAGACCCTGGCTTCCCAGTTCAGGAAAAGCACCTGCCCCCACTCAGGAAAGTTGACTTCTGTTTCTAAACAGAATGCCTGCAAAGGAAGCCAGACTGCAAGGGCATGGCTCAAGCTTCTTCTGGGGCTTCTCACCCCACCACACCTGTGCCCGTCTTGGTCAGCATAAGCCATGCCCCACCTGTGGCGGGCCTGGTGATGACAGAGCATCTGGCACATTCTCTCCATGGCTCGCCTCTGTGTCAGCATCTCCTAGAGCAGGGGCCCCCACATATTGCGGCTGGGCTTTGGGTCCTGGTTGGAGCAAGTGTCGTGCACTGTTGCACCTCCTGCTGACCCCTAAGGTGGCCTCTGTGCTGTAGGGCAGCGGGCAGGATGTAGTGGCGGGAAGCTGCTAGCCTTTCTAGAGGCTCTTTTAGTGACAGGGCTTTAGGAGTCAGTAAATGGGTGTCACTTACTCAGAAGGGCAGGGCTTTCTTGTCACTTTTGTTTCCTTTTTTCTTGGGTTAAATCACACTGTGGATTAATTCAGATTAGGTTCAGCTGCAAGGAACAGAAACCCTCCAAATATGGACTATTTGGGAAGAGGAAGGGGACCAGTGGGAGGGCGGACAGGAAGGAAAAGAGGGGCTGAATATGATGAAAGTACATGTATATATGAAAATATCATAATGAAACGCCTATTTTGTAGAATTAATATATGCTAATAAAATAGTAGAGACTTAACCAAGATAGAGGTTTATTTCTCACATAAGAGATGACCACAGTTGGTTGTTCAGAGCTACTATGATGACAGTGTGGTGTCAAGGACCTGGCTACTTTGTCCTGTGTGGTTTCCATGCTCGAGGTCATTTCATGACCCAAATCCCAAGGGAAGGTCCAGTCCCTGCTTCTGCATTTCATGTGCAGGACGAAGAAAGGGAAGGGACAAAAGGAGGGTGCCACTGTCTTCTAAGGACAGTTCCAGAGAGCTGACCCCTAACACTCCTGCTCATATGTTGCTGACCAGTACCTAGCCATATGGGTCTTTCAGCCTGATAATTCCAGTCCGTATACCCACGGCCCTGGTGCCCATGGAAAAAGCACAGTCCCATTCCTAATAAAAAGAGGAAATCAGATCCTGGAGTACGTCGTTGGCATGCTCTGCTGTAGAGGAAGGACCAGTGGTTCTCGGCTGAGTCCCCTGCTCGAGGTTGTGATGATGGGACCCCCGTGCTGTCATGACCCTTCCCAGCTTCAGTTAGCTGCTTTGTCAACGCCTACCGTCTGAAGTGCGTCTCACTTCCTTGGTTGCTGGTAACATGTCGCTCTGTGATAGTGAGTACTATCTGTCCTGGGTAAGATACTGAACTGAAGTCAAACTGTGTCACCTGTTGGGTAAAAGACTGTTTGTGTTGAAGGAGGTCAGAGGAACTGATTTCCCTTGTTCCTTTTGCCCAGGTGAATTCTTTAGAGAAAGCTGTGCACCTGGGTCTGACCCGAAATCCAATCTCTGTGCTCTGTGTATTGGTGACGAGAATGGTGAGAATAAGTGTGCATCAAACAGCAGCGAGAGATACTATGGCTACACTGGGGCTTTGAGGTGAGTCTGGAACTGAGCTCCCCCAGCATAGGGCATCGTGCTTTATCCTCGACATGTTGCTACTGCAGTTCTAAGGGGACAGGTGTGGCCTGTCACAGCACACAGGGGTCACACTGTGGGTTTTCAAATAGACCCCACCAGTCAGAACCCCTCGTCACACCCACCACCCCAGAGAGTGGGGGCTGGAGCAGGGCTACCTGACCTCAGGACGTTGAGCCAAGGTCTCCCACAGTGAGCCTCACTACCTTCTCCTCAAAGTTAGTAGGTGGCGTGTGTGGCAACCAAAGAGCTCCCCACATTTCAGTGTTATGGAAGTTGTCGTTCCCAGAGCCACCATCCCCTTCCCTTCCCTAGGTCATCATTGTGGCTTATGTTTTCATTTTTCTCTTTGACTTTGGCCTTAGACATGGCAAAGAGGAAGTAGTATTGCAGTGTTAGTCTCCATTGTGAAGTGAAAAAATAAACCAAAAAAGAAAAAGTTTTCACAATTCACAAATTATAGCCACTGAGTGAGTGATTCCTATTAATGACCCAGAACTTGCATTTATAACTTCATTAATCTGGGCATTGCTTCCAGGGGTCTATTTAGGGATTCGACCAGCACGAAGAGACTCTTTCTTCCCCCTTCCCTTTTTCTCCATTTGCCAAGACTTTATTTTACCACCAGGTGGCATCCTGCATCTGAGAAAGACAGTGGCCAGAACTGGCCTTTGAGCTTTTAAATATCAATCCAGCAGCCTTTGCTGCAGTGGTACGTGATAGAAAAGTAATCTTTGCTATACTCTGCTTGATCTTAAAAATCGAATGGATGTTTTTGAATGCACAAAAATACCTTTGAAGAACTAAGGATTTGCAAATGGAAAGTTTGTGATGTGATTCCTCTCAGAAATATTGAATCGACACATATCTGAATCATGTGATCCTTTTTGTCCCAGACCTGAAGCATGGCTTAACTTTTCTGGAAACCTCTGCACTTCAGCATTCTTATTTATACTAGAAGATACTGCTTTGCCTTTGCTTTAAATTATGTCTAGAATCTAGACAGGGTAATTTATAGCAAAATAATTGAAAGCTAGAAGCAGATGTCTTATTTGGACTTATATTTCTAACTAACCTCCCAGTACTGCTGGTTCTTGATTTGTAACTCTTAGCTCTCTTTTGCTTTCTATGATGGCAGAAGCTGTAACCTTTCAGAGTGCTCCCTCCCGCCCACCCTTCCTCTTCCACCCTCAACCACAACCTCACCTTTCATAACCAGACTGTGTTGCATTCGGTGCTTGCATTTTTATGACACTGCAAGCGTTATTCTCGTGTGGTATAATAAGGTTATGTTTCGCTTATTGTGCAAACATTTTGTTTACTACGGAGTTCATCGATGTCTTCTTTTTTTATTGCTTTATTTTCTTTGCCTCAAAACTCTCTGGCAGGAGTGCGCTCATGCTGGGGTGGTCTGATTTCCTCATTTAGTTGGGAATGTTGCTCTGAGAACTCCAGATTCCTGCTGCATTCTGAATTGGGTGCTCTGGAAGTCACCTGTCATCTGTGGTCCTGAGAATGCCCTCCGCTGTCATTCTGGGATTTCCCTTTGTCTTACTTCATGTTAGATAGCTGATTTCCTGGATTTCATATCTTTAGCTTTGTGGGGTTTTTTTGTTGCAACAGAGCACATTCTCCAACATCTTCTTGAGGAAGGGTGAATGAATAGGTGGTGCTATTTTTTTTTGGCAGGGGGAGGTAACTAGGAGTTGAACTCAGGGTCTGGCACTTGCCAGGCAGGCGCTCTATCACTTTAGCTACTCTGCCAGCCTTGAGTTGCTATTTTTAAAGAACTTACATATCTGAAATTATCTTTCTTTTATTTTTGAAATGATTTACAGTTTAGCAGAATAACTAAATCCAAGTTGGAATTTTATTTCCCCCCTAGGAATTTTAACTAATTCCTAGCTCCAGAAAATGACAACCTTAGGCTATTTCGGCCAAAGTCTCCCACTAAAAAGCGAATTGCTGGATTAAGTACACGCACACAGGTATTCACACTGAATCACTGACAAAATAAGCAATTCCAGACTAAAATCTGAGGGGAATAGGAGGTCAGAGAGACAAATGCAGAGCCACTCTATCCCATCCTGGAGATGTTAACCAATTCTGAGAGACTTGAACCTAAGAGGTTACCTATACCTGTAAGGTAAGAGCGACCTAGAAGTAACTTTTGTGCCTACTCTCAGAGGATTTGAAGTTGCCCAGAAGTTGAAGAAAGCAGTGAGAACATTTCTCCTGAGAAATCAAAACCATGAGCCAATTCTCATATGGACTTGAAATTCAAAGTTGGTCCCCTAGGAAGGTCCAGAAAGTCTCAGCTCAAAAATATTTTTAGAAGGGATCCCAGACAAATGGTCTTTCTAGGAATCTGTGAGGAACATAGAATCTTCATGTTATGCCCCAAGGACTACTAAAAATACTATTTTCTAATGACGATGATCACAGTAAAAAGTAATTATTATAATGTTAACCAAACACACAGGAGAAAAAAGCTGTCAGATGCAAAATCCAACAGACAAAAACAAGTTAGTATTTTTAAAAAAGGAATAGAGTTTCTAGAAAGGAAAAAAATAGCAATTAAAATTCACTATGCAATTGACCAGCTTAACATACTAGATATGACTAAAAAGAGAATTAATGAAATAGGGGATTTGTGAAAAAAATTATCCAGATTGTAGCATAGGATGACAAAAAATTGGAAAATAGAGCAAATTCAAAAATTTAAAAGCATTAATTCATTGTTTTCTAATTTCTAGAGTTGTTGAGAAATTTGGTACTATTTTTGATTCCTGATTCTTTGTATATACAACTTTCTTTCTTTTTGAAAATTTTTTGAGCAATTGTTTTTTAGTCTGTAGTGTTCTGAAGCTTCATAATGACAGTTTTTTGTTTTTTTTTTGGCGGTACTGGGGTTTGAACTCAGGGCTTTATGCTTGCTAGGCAGGTGTTCTACCACTTGAGCCACACCTCCAGCCCCCATAATGACATTTCTTTATGTGAGTCTTTCCCCACTATATTGGATTGGGCTCTTCATGCATCTTTTTGACTGGAAACTCAAGTTAACACATTCTGGGAAGCTATTATTTCTTTGGCAATTACTATCCTTTAGTTTCTCTAACTTTTCTTTAAACTTTAATTTTTAAATTATAGTGTCTTGAATTATCATCTGATTTCCTTATTATTGATTCTATATTATTTGCTCTTTGTCTTCTAGTTTCTGGGATATGTATTTGTTTAATCCTCTAATATTATATAATTTTAAAGAATGATCATGACTGGGCTAGTGCATGGCTATTGTTCCAGCTACTCAGGAGGCAGAGGTAGAACAATTGCAGCCCTAGTCCAGCCCAGGCAAAAAGCAGGAGACCCTGTCTGAAAAACAAACTAAAAGTGAAAGAACTGGGGAATAGCTCGTGCAGAAAAATGCTTGCCTAACAATATACCAAGGCCCTGAATTTAATCCCTAGTACCACCAAAAAGAACTTTTTAATGATTTTTTTCTTTCTAAGAACTCTGTAATCTACTTTCTTTTTTAGTACTTCCTGTTCTTGTTTCATGAATACCTTGTCTTCTTTTGTATCTTTAGGATATTAATTATAGTTTTTTTTTTAAGTTCTATCCTGTCCTTTATATTGTCTCTATAGCCTCTGAATATAATGGTTTTGGTCTCCATTTTTTATGGTCTTCCTTTAAATATCTGATGGTCTCTGCCTATTTGTCCATACTTAAGAATGGAGCATTAAAAAACAAAAAAAGTGAAGGGATAAAGCTGGTAGTTAGCTCTGTGTCATTTGCCAGGCCTTGGTGAATGCTGGGCTTCACTGAGGATCTGTTGGCATGTGTCGTTTCATTGGTGCATCCAAATATCAGGACCTATGAGTGTTTTCCTGAGTTGATGAGGTTACCCTGACAAACAATCTTGTCTGATGCTTGGAAAGAATGGCCCTGACGCCCGCCTCCTGGAGCCAAGCGGGAGAATGGGACTGTGACTTCACTCCTGCTCAGTCCTGCTCAGTGTCCATTTCTGCCTTCTGCACCACAGTGTTATTCAGGTTCAACCTCCCCGCCATGGACAAATCTTTGTTTTCTGCCAGGGTGAGGGAGAAGCTGAGGGGCCATGGATGTGTAAAACTCACCTTCTAGATGCTGAAGGCAGTCTTTCCATTCTCAGCCAGTTTCTTTCTAGGCCCCCCCACAACACACACACACACAAGGGGTACTGGGGTTTGAACTCAGGGCATTGGCTAGGCTCTACCGCTTGAGCCACACCTCCAGCCTTTTCTACTCTGTTTTGGAGTTAGGGTCTTGCTTTTTGCATAGGCTGGACTGAGCCACAACCTTCCTATTCTATACTTCCTGCCATAGCTGGGATGTCAAGGGTGCACCACTAGCCCAGCTTTTCCCCTGAGATGAGGTCTCATGATCTTTTTTTGCCTGGGCTTCCCTTGAACCTCCATCCTCCTGAAATCAGCCACCCAAGGAGCTTGGGATGACTGGCACATAGCACTATGCCCAGCCATTGGTTGAGGTGGAATCTTATGAACTTTTTTTCTTTCCTTTGTTATTGTTCTGGGTGGGAGTACATGGTGGCATTTACACAGGCAAACTCTTCCCCCACCCCAAGCTGGCCTCAAACTATGATCCTCCCCATCTCAGCCTCTCCAGTAGCTAGGATTATAGATATGAGCTACCCATGTCCATCTCATTCTCAGCTATTTTTCCTGGTGCCAAGCCTTTCTGGAGGTCTGCTGTGCACATCTGCTTCCTTCTGAGCTTCCACCCCCTCCACGTACATTACAGCTCTCTTTGCTCTGTCGGTTAAGTAACTGCTCAGCCATTTGCTCTTTGACTTCCAAGGGTGGTCATTATGGTCTCTTTTTCTCTCGTTTGTGGGCTTAGAGCTTTGAAAAAAATCTCATCAGTGTCGTTTTATTGGGATTTTAGAAGGAAGGAAGGAAGGCACACGGATGCGTTCTGTCAATTTAAGCCTTAAAATCCTGGAAATACTTTCACCTTTCACATGTTTACTTACATGTTTCAGTTTTGGAATGCATAGTACAAATATTTATGAAGAGTCTAATGGCTTCTTTTCTCTTGTCATGTTATTTGTGGAAACATTTTAGGTGCATGGTTGAGGGGGCAGGAGATGTCGCCTTTGTGAAAGACTCCACTATCTTTCAGAACGCTGATGGTAGGTGAAGTCATTTCTCTTCCTCCTTCTAAGCAGTTTTAGTACCATGACACATCCTCAGATTCCTTACCTAGGGCACATGGTAGCATGTGCAGGTGTCACAGTGATTTTGAAGCTGAATGTCCTCTCTCTCTCTCTCTTAATCTCTCTCTCTCTCTCTCTCACACACACACACACACACACCAGTCAGATCTTATAGCAAGTGTATGCCTGGTTTGGCTTGGCTAGTCACTCATGGAAACTCACCATCTGTCTACACCAGATCACGGTGCCTATGGGAAACAGTTTGGACAATACTGAAAAAAACAGAACATATGAAAATAAGTTTCCCTCTTGAAAAAAAGAAGTCAAGTCTTCATTCAGCTCCATGTGAGCCATTCACCTGGAAACTCCTTGGGAGTCAGTGGGGACTGAGTCACAGGCAGATACAAATGATGAAAGAGAATCTCCCAGCCAATGTTTGAACAATTACCCTCCCTTCTGGTCTCTAAATGAGAAAAAATGACCAAATTGAAGCCTCCACAGGCGTCTGATGCCTTCCATGCTTCACCTCCTTCTTTAGCAGATGATTTGTTCACTCCTTGGGAAAGGATCAGCTCTACTTTCTGCTTCCCTCCTGCAGTGATCTCCACTCCTTTCTTCTCCTCCTGCCTCCTCTAGTTACCGGGAGGAGGATTAGGGCCTCACCCATGAGTTTGAAAGGATCTCAATATCAAAATAATGAATCCTAGTCCTCACTCCTCTCCTTGCCTCGCCTTTCCTCCCCTTCCCCTCCCCTCTCCTCTCTTCCCCTCCCCTCTCCTCTCTTCCCCTCCCCTCCCCTCCCCTCTCCTCTCTTCCCCTCCCCTCCCCTCCCCTCTCCTCTTCTCCCCTCCCTTCCCCTCCTTCTTTCTCTTCTCAAATTTTTTTTTTACATTTAAAAATGTTTAATAATATAGTCAATTTATGTTATGCATACTTTGCTGCAATTTAAAAATTAAGTAAAAAGGCACGATCTATGATGAAAATGCAAATAATTTTGTGACAGTAACCTAATACAAGAACAGGGGATGAGAGAAGAGAAGCAAAACACAAACTTTTATAACTTAGAGGGGGGAAAAAAACAAAGGGAATGACAACCTATAGTGGAAATACCAGTCCATGAGAAAGGAAAAGAAAAAAGGTGAGATGCACACTCTCAGGCAGGAAGAAAGACTGACTCAATTCCAGATAGTCAATGAAAGAGTCAAGTGCAATATAATAATTCTTTCTGGCCCAAATTTTATGTAACTAGAATTCTAAGCCCATTCATAGCAATTATTACAAGAATCTCAAGCAAGATATCAAAAGATACCTCAGATAATCATAGAATTTTAGAATTGAAAGGTACCTTAATGTCTAACAACTGCCTCATTTTTTTACATTGACAAAAATATGGCACTGACAAAAATAAGATTTTATTTAATATCTAGACCTTAATATTTTTATTATTTTAATGATGTAATCATTACGTTTCTTGAAATTTTTTTCTGTTGTTGATACAAATAGCTAGGTAACACTGAGCAGCAATCCAAACATGAGAATACAGTTACTACAGTCTATTCCACTTATTATTATTATTTTTTTTTAATTTTTCTTTTATTATTCATATGTGCATACAAGGCTTGGTTCATTTCTCCCTCCTGCCCCACCCCCTCCCTTACCACCCACTCCGCCCCCCCCCCCCCCCCGCTCAATACCCAGCAGAAACTATTTTGCCCTTATTTCTAATTTTGTTGTAGAGAGAGTATAAGCAATAATAGGAAGGAACAAGGGTTTTTGCTGGTTGAGATAAGGATAGCTATACAGGGCATTGACTCACATTGATTTCCTGTGCGTGGGTGTTACCTTCTAGGTTAATTCTTTTTGATCTCACCTTTTCTCTAGTTCCTGGTCCCCTTTTCCTATTGGCCTCAGTTGCTTTAAGGTATCTGCTTTAGTTTCTCTGCGTTAAGGGCAACAAATGCTAGCTAGTTTTTTAGGTGTCTTACCTATCCTCACCCCTCCCTTGTGTGCTCTCGCTTTTATCATGGCCTCACCCATGAGTTTGAAAGGATCTCAGTATCAAAATAATGAATCCTAGTCCTCACTCCTCTCCTTGCCTCGCCTTTCCTCCCCTTCCCCTCCCCTCTCCTCTCTTCCCCTCCCTTCCCCTCCCCTCTCCTCTTCTCCCCTCCCTTCCCCTCCTTCTTTCTCTTCTCAAATTTAATTCCTATCTTTTCTATTTCTTTTGTACAAGGGAGTGAACTCAGGGCCTTGCCCTTGCAAGGCAGGTTCTTTACCACTTGAGCCACGCTGCAGCCCTTTTTGCTTTAGTTTGGTTTTGACAGGGTCTCATACTCTTGCCTTGGACTGTGATCCTCCTACCTCCACTTCCCTGCATAGCTGGAATTATAGGTACTCACCACCACACCTGGCTAAGAGGTGGTTTCTTAAGAGAAAAGGCAGAAGGAGAGATAAGCAAGGGCCTGAGCCTGTGTGTGCGCACACAGACATGTCTGCAATTACACTTAGAATTTATGACAGTTAATTAAAGTGGTTTCCATGGATCAGATAGATGTCAAATTTTATTCTTAGGTTCTCTGGTACTTTACAACTATATTTTATTGGAATTGAGTAAACAGATTTGGTACATCCATAGAAAGGCCTATCTTCTCTCTGGTTACATGAAGAGTATTTGAAAATGAAAGGAAGGGAAAATTTCTCCTTGAACGTAAATCAGCTATAGGCTGAGACAACTAAGTCAAAAATCTAAAATCCAGCTGGGTGCTGGTGGCTCACGCCTGTAATCCTAGCTATTCAGGAGGCAGAGATCAGGAGGATCACAGTTCAAGCACAGCCCAGGCAAATGATTTGTAAGATTCTATCTCAAAAATACCCATCCCAAAAAAGAGCTGGGCTTGAAGGAGTGTCTCAAGTGGTAGAGTGCCTGCCTAGCAGCATGAGACCCTGAGTTCAAACCCCAGTACTGCAATAAAATAAAATAATCTGAAGTGCCCCAAAATTGGAAACTTTTTGAACATTGACGTGGTGTCACAAGTGGAAAATTCCATATTTGACCTCACCTGATGGGCCACAGTAGAACTGCAGTCACACTAAAAATACTGCCTAAAATTATGTTCAGGCTCTATGTTAGTAGGTATGTGAAGCAGAAGTGAACTTTGTGTCTAGATTCACATCTCTCCCCGCAAGACTGTCTCAGGGTGTTTATGCAAATATTCCAAAATTTGGAAAAAAAAATTCCAAGTCTGAAGTAATTCCTGTCCCAAGCATCTTGGATGAGGGATACTCAACCTATTTTCTTTTTTCTGGATCCCACTGGAAAACATGGTGTAGGTGGAAGGTTTTCTTTTAAAAAAAAAAAAAAACAAAACCAACTTGAAAAGAACTTTTAACAGCTTTATTGAGATCCAACTCAATGCTATAAAATCCACCGAGTGGATTGATCCACTGGCTTCCAGTCATTCACAAAGTTGTACAACCACCACCACCATCCAACTCCAGAACACTTGAATAATCCCATAAAGAACTCCTTGTTCACAATCACTCCCCCACTTCTTTAGCACTGGCAATCACCCACTTCCTGTATTCATGGCTTTGCCTGCTCATGTAAACGGAATCCCAGTTTGTGGTCTGTTGTTCTTTCTCTTAACATGTTTTCAAGTTTCATCTGTGTTGCAGAAGGTGTGAACCTCACTCCTTTTTATTGCCATATAATATTCCACTACCCGACCACAGCACCTGTGTTGAGTATATTTGAAGTCTGAATCACTTGTTCAAGACACAGCTTCATTCTGTCTCCTTCATGTCACCATGGCTCTTGCAACAGGCGTTTTGAGAGACCAGTAGGATGGTCACACTTATCCAGAAAAGACCCTTTGTCCAAACAGGGCAGTTGTAACTGATGCCACCTTCATTCTGTCACCAGGAAAGAACACTGAAGCGTGGGCCAGGGACTTAAAGGTAGAGGACTTTGAGTTGTTGTGCCTTGATGGGACCCGGCAGCCTGTGACTGAGGCGAAGAGCTGCCACTTGGCCATGGCCCCGAATCATGCTGTGATCTCTCGGAAGGACAAGGCAGTATTCCTGGAGCAGGTGCTGCTCCAGCAACAGGTATGGGGCACGGGGCTGCGTGGGCTCCAGGAAGATTGGAGGTCACGGAGCCTTTCTTTCTTTCCCCTCTGCTTGGTTGGTGGCGACAGCATTTGCTTCATGCCTGGGACTGCACGATCTAAGTAAGGACTAAAAGGCTTCCAATTCTGGGCTTTCTGGGACTGACTTTAGTTTGGCCTGGAGCCTCCGTGCTCCTAAACTTGTACTTGCTGAGGTGGCCATTGTCCTTTTTCCTATTATTTTAGGCAAATGAGGGAGCTTTTCTTCCACAGCCCTTGACTCTAGTGATGTTACTTGAGCCTGGGCCAACAGCCCAATTTTCAGGACAAGACTCCTGAAACAACAATAGAGCTGGCTTTGATAGTTTTAAGGGTATCTATATGAATGCGACTGGAAGGAAATCCTAAAATGTTCTTGAAATCTAGGATTCTCTATTAGCACTTCTATTTTTTATATTATACAACATGGCTCCAGGCGTGCGTTGGAAGGCAGTGGCTCTAGGTATGAAGGAGAGACTGTGGCTAAAGGTGGTGGCCTGCTTGGGTCAACCAACTGGTTAGTTGAAACACTAGGTTTTCCTATGCCAACCACCCCTCTGTGACAGAGGCATGGGAGAGGTTTTCAAGTGATTAGCTTTTGGGGCAGACCTCAAAAATCCTCAGCTGACATCTCGTCACTTGCAAGAAGTTCTCTGGGAAGAGGTGATAGATTTAGAAGGAAGAAAACATGGTGTGAGGTGGGATGAGAAGTGCTGTGAGGTCTGGACACTGTCCATGGCAGGGGTGTCGGCCAGTGCAAGAAAAGGACCCCAGAGTTTGGCTACTTCTGCCCCACAGTTTTCCCAAAGCTGGTCCAGAATGGAAGAAATATTCTTGGCCTCTCCTGTCCACACACTCTCCTGTCTTCCTTGACTACTCGCTAAACGTCTGCCCTTTTGGACACAGGCTCAGTTTGGAAGAAATGGAAACAGGTGTCCGCGAGATTTTTGTCTGTTCCACTCCGAAACTAAAAATCTTCTGTTCAATGATAACACTGAGTGTTTGGCCAAACTCCATGGTAAAACGACATATACGAAGTATTTGGGACAGCAGTATGTCACAGCCACTTCTACTCTGGAGAAATGTTCAACTCCCGTGAGTGGACCCTGGGTAGCCTCACTGAGAAAATCGTGGGTGAAGGTCAAGGTTCAGGGTCAAAGTGCTTATAGGAATACAAATTCTCAAACATTCAGAAAACATATCTTAACCAGGAAAATATATTTTAGTGTAATTTCATTCTTGAAGATATTTTTAGAGGACATCTCAGAGGGCTGGAAGGCTAGATGATGATTTTAAGTTTCAGTATGCACTGACTGCCCAGTACACTGTGACTACCCCACACTCCTATTCCTGATCCCCCAAAAAGAGGCACAGGCTTGGGGAATGCTGTGGCCCAGGTGTGGGAGAAGAGCCAGGAGTCCATTACTCAGTTCTCAACTCAGGATGATTTTTGCCCCTAAGTTTGGCAATGCCTGGGGACATTATCGATGACCACAATTTAATAGGTGCTGGTGGTGTCTGTTTGGTAGAGGCCAGTGTAGCACACCCCCCAACAAAGAATACCAGTAGTGCCAAGGTGAGGGACCCTGGTCTGTGTGGAGCCGCGTCTCAGGTCCTTTGACTCAGGTGAGAACTAGAGTTGTAGGATGGTTCTTGTGGCCAGGCAGCATTGGATGCAGAGGCGCTGTGTCCTTGAGGGTAGATCCTATCTGTGTATGTTCCCCGACAGCTCTTAGCACAGTGACTCACACCAGGCAGGTGCCAGCAAGGTTTTGCAGCTGAATGAGTAATCAAGTAGATGAGCGATGATGCAAACAGATCAGCCGGAATTGTTTGCATTCCAGAAGTGAGAGGCCCCCAGAGGACTTGTGAACTTAAGAGTGTGGGCTGTTTGCTTAGAGACAATTGGATAGGGAGTTAGTGTCCCTTGGGCCAGAGCAGGGGAACACCCTTTCTGGGGAGGGCCAGTTGTATCTGGTGCCTGTGTTCTATGCACGCCATAGTTTTGGGGAGAAGAAGTAGTGAACATGGGCAAGGCACTGACTCCTAGTGGTGGGAAGAGAGCAGTTTTAGCAGTTTCCTTGATTTATTGATTTAAAAATTGATAAAACCTCAGTTTCTGAACTCCTGCTCTGTTGTGTCCTACAGCACTCCTGGAGGCCTGTGCATTCCTCACGAAGTAAACCCCAAGAAGATGGGCCAGCCTCCCCAGGGGGCCTCAGCCTTGATCCCTGGGTGTACTCAGGCCTTGCCCTCCCCTGCTCAGGGTGAGATCTGCCCATCCATCTGTTCCCATAATTCCCTGCTGTCACTAACAAATAAAGTGAGATATATTGCTGGTTTGCTGTCCTTATAAAGTGTTATTCATCTTTTCTAGAATCTTATCTTGAAATTATGTATCTGACCAAACACTTTCTCTTCCAAATGTTTCAGGCCCAGCCCTTCCTCTGTCCCATAGTCCTGGGCATGACGCCGATTGGTCTGGAATATAGGGACAGGACAAGCAACGTTTTTTTTCCCCCAAGGGGATTTGTCTTATTCACGTAGTTGTATCAGTATGTGCACATGTGTGTGCCTGAGAGTGTGTCTGTCTGCATACCCATGTGAATGTGTGTGTTCCAAATCATGTGTGCACACGTGTACATGTGTATGCCTCTGCATATGTGGGCACGTGTAGGTGTGTGTGTGTGTGCTCATGTGTGCATGTTTCCAAGGTAGGACAGGAATAGAGGGTATAAAATCAAAGGATCAGTGACAGAAGTTAGCTATAAAGAAGGTTTTTGATTATTTGGTATTTAAGATAAATACCACATGGATAGTCATAGGGAAATGTGTGAAGTACTTCTGCCTCTCCATTTTATTGGCCCTCAACCTCCAGTTAACCTCTAATCATTAGATTTTCATCCACTTTGGAGCTGATCAAAGCATATCCTGAGCTGACTCTCTCCCCTTTCTTCCTTCTCATTCTCCCTCCCCCACTGCAATTTGCCTCTGACCTACTCATGCTCCAGAAGTGGTTATGGAAAGAGACACCCATGTCCTCCCAACGCCAGGCTGGGAGGGGACTTCAGCTGTCTTCCCATGGGCTCCTTTGCTGCTGTTGGTATTGATCTTGGAACCTCTCCTTCCGTCTGCCACAGCACCCTTCCGTCTTCTGACCCTTTCTTTCTCTGCCTTGTTGAGGGTCCACCCTTTGTCCTCTAAATGTTTTCCCCCATGGCTTTCTTCTTCGGAACTTGTTTCTGACCTGCTGTCTTGATGCATTGGAAGGGAATTCAGAGAACCCAAAGACCGGGTTAGTGTGCAGACTCCTCTCCCTGGTAAAGTGGTGTCCAGGTGTCTGTGCCCTCTCAGATTAACAACCTTTCTCTGGAAGGGGAAGGGATCATTTTCCTGCTTTGAGTTTTCCCCTTTGGCTCATTGGACCCAACAGGCTAACCCAGGTCTCCCAGAGTAAGAATGCCCCTTTAGAAGAGAGATCAGACAAGGGTGCTGAAATTCTATCCCCATTATGCCAGATGACCACTTGGCCAGTGTTCACTGGCGATGAATGGGATCTTGGCTGCCAACAGACATTTCTAAATCTTTCAGGAAAGGTCCCATATTTTAAGATGAAACTCTTTTTTTTTCTTTCAGTACCGGGGATTGAACAGAAGGCTTTTCATTTTCTAGGCAAGCACTCTACCACTTGAGCCATGCCCTAGTTTTGCGTTTAGTTTGTTTTTCAGATAATGTCTTGTGCTAACTTTAACTGGGCTGGTCTTGAACCATGATCCTCCTTCCTGAATAGCTGGGATTGTAGATATGCACTACCACACTTGGCTAAAAAACTTGTTTTTAATTTTGCTGCTTTGAATTATGGACAGATTATGTTATCCTTTCTCACTTGCCTGAGAAGTTTATTCACTGAGCAACATTTGATGGGGTAGCCATAGTAGTTATAAAGTCAGGGCTATAAAACACAACACTTGAACAATAAGAACCTTCTTGAATAAAAAAAAAAATTAAAATTAAAGGCCAACCAGTGAAATCCCCTTTCACCAACTGAAGTGAAAGGGAATCTGTCATGCTAAGCTGTATTGCTGGAACAAACAGTTCCCAAATCAAACTCCCACAGTAGTGTACACACAAAGGTTTGTTTCTCTCTTACATCCTGGTCACCATGGATCAGCATTGGCTCTGCTACTCATCTCTTCAATCTGGAACCAGCACCCTCCATTTGGGTCATATTGAGTCTATGATTGAGGGGAAATAAAAGAGAGATGGGGGCATGTTTGGTCTCCATCTTTGCAGAGCCAAAGAAGGTGGTACAACATCAAGGAGGAGCCCAACAGGGAGGGGCAGTGAATATTTTGGAAATAGGACACTGTTCCCCTTTCATTTCTGGACAAGAGGCAGAACCTTTAGTTTTTCAATCCCAAGGCTCTTATATGTTCTCTTTTCTAAAATTTAGTGGAATCAGCAGAAGTCTTAGGAATGCCTGTTCACCAGGTACCCACTCATGGAGTATAGAGAGGTAAGCGAGTCACCAGCCACCCAGCAACTGTGGGCGTGCATCCCACCCTGCCCTTTCCAATGAAAGTGATAGTCCTGCTGGCTGTGGGCGCCATGTCCCAAAATAGCTTCTTACTTGCTGTGCTCTCAAGTAACTTCTTACTCATACTTGAGCAGAAATGAAAAAATGCCAGAAGCTGTGCCTGTTTTAGGGTGGAGCTAGAGTCTGTTAGGAAAGCCTCTTTGGTTGAAAAAGGTGAGTGGGCCATTCAACCGAAAGGTAAGGAGTCACAGCCAAATAGAGCCAACCTGCTTTCTATATGAACCAGGAAACGTGGTTGACTACAGAGGGAGGCATGCAGACGACAGGAGAGGCTGCTTGGAAAGGATAAGTGGGTCCCAGGAACAGAACATCTCAGGTCCTAAAGACAAATGTGGTCGTGAAGCCAGTTCTTGCCTATGATGACCAGGGAGCCTCATCATCACTGTTACCTAGGATGAAGGGGTGACTACCCTTTGTGGGCTAACCTGCCCTTGGCTTGGGAATCAGACCAAGGACAGTCTCTCCCTATAGGAAAAGCATGTGGCATAAAGAGAGGACAGTAGTCCCAAGATGAGATGGACCCAAGGCCCAAAGTCCTGAGATTCCATATGCCAGGTCTGGCCACCTGCCCCTAAATGCCAAAGAAAGAGGCCTGGTGAAGGCAGAGAAAGGAGGTTTATTACACAGCTCGGGCATGCCTTGGGAAGAGGCAGAGTAAGCGCTCAGCTCATCCTCAGCCATCTTCAGGGTACAGACACAAGCTATAGCTTTAAGTAGACAAAAGAACTGGAGGCAGGGGACAAAGGTATGCATAGTTAAACAGTCCCAGTCACAGGTGTGTTCTGGTTGACCATTATCTCAGTCCAAGGGTTCCCAGAGGGGTTCCGGAGAAGTTATCACAGTCATCACTTGAGGGAGTGATCTGGTTTCCATGAGTTGATTGCTCTAATTGTCCTCATTTGGAGGGGTGGTCTGTCTTGCAAGTCTCCACCTTTCCTTTATAGGAAGTTTCAGACCCTTGTCATAAAGATGTTATCAGTTCTATCCTTTATAGAATCCAAGGTGATTGCAAAGTGACTGCAAAGAGAATGGCTTAGACAGATACAAAATGGAGGCAGGGATGCCAAGCTTCTCCTGCTTTTAGTTAATTCATGGGCCTAAGTAAGGAGTCAGTGCTTTTCAGCAAAAGCAATTGGAGCACCTCTTACATTTACTCCCATTTCCTTCATGGGGCTGTAGACTTTTGGTTGGTAAAAGAAGTTACCAAGACAAAGAAGCTGGAGAAGCAAGAAGTTTATTAGGACACAGAAAAGCAGGGGACAACTGACCACAGGGAGTGCTGCTGCTGCTATGTTATGAGGGTTGAGGAAGATTTATTTATGTAAAGCAAAGTGAAAGGAAAGCAAAACACCCCGCAGCAGGAGGGTGGGCAGGCTCAGGAAGGAGCACTGCGCTGGGGGTCCCAAGACCTCAAACTTTTATTGGGTGTCTGCAGAGATAGGGGTGGTCAGTCCTGGAAAACTGGGTTATGTGTCATTAACTTCCAGAGACTGGGCTGTTGTCATCAACTCTCCCACATGCTGGGAAGAGGGGGTGGGTTGGCCCTGAAAGGCTGTTATTTTCTGTGGACTCTCAGGGCTATAGATCAGCAAGACCCTGCTGTGTGTCACAAGCCATTTTGTTAACATCAGCAGTCTAGGGTGTGATCTGTGATTTCTTTAAAAAAAATTTTAACAAAAGATTTATTTTGATTCATAGTTCTGGTCCAAGATTCGGGATCCACACATCTCTCTCTCTCTCTCTTTTGGTGGTACTGGGGTTTGAACTCAGGGCCTACACCTTGAACTACTTCACTAACCCTTTTTTGTGAGATATATATATATATATATATATTTTTTTTTTTTTTTTTTTTGTGATAAGGGTCTCATGAACTATTTCCCCAGGCTGGTTTCATAGTTGTGATCCTCCTGATCTCAGCCTCCTGAGTAGCTAGGATTACAGTCATCAATCTCTTGATGACCTTTTGCTAGTAGAGTCCCAGTGCAGCAAAGGGTGCCACATGGCAAGAAAGAGGGAGTAAACATGTGTGTTTGTTTGGTCTCTCTCTCTCCCTTTTTTTTTTTCCTTAATTTTGAATTTTTTTTATTGTTGTGTTGGGGGTACATTGTGGCATTTACAAAAGTTCTTGCAATATATTGAGTATGTCATAGTTGAATTCTACCATTCTACCATTCTAGGATGTGATTTCTTATCAACAACCAAGCCATGGTTCTCAGCCATCAGGTTGAGATGCAGGCCAAGAGGCAGGCCTGTGAGGCAGACCAAGAACTGGGGAAAGTTTGGAGCTTTTAGCTTAATTTAGAGCACCACAAGTTAGACCCCTCCCTCCATCCCTCCCTCTGAGCTCAGAGGGCTCCTTTTCAACTGCGAATCCTTTGTTAAGCTAGAAAGAGTGAGAATTTCCTCCTGGTGGACTCAGGGTACCTGAAAATTAGTATAGGTGTACGTGTGAGTCCGCTCTGCCAAGATCCTCCTCCCCCTTGAAGGCCACTGGAGACGGGGAGTGACACAGGTTTCTCCCCACCTCCAAGTTAAGGATGGCATAAAAATGTCTTTTTTTCTCTCTTTTGGTGGCACTGGGACTTGAACTCAGGGCCTCACACTTGCTAGGCAGGCACTCTACCACTTGAGCCACTCCACCAGCCCTAAAAATGCCTGAAAACAAAAATCTTTCTCTTTTTCTGAATGTGGCTCCTCCATTACACCTGGCAGGGACCACATCTGTAATCCCCTTTCCTTTTACCTAT